GACGAGAGACGAGAGCTGAGAGACGAGAGCTGAGAGACGAGAGCTCAGAGCTGAGAGACGAGAGAGATGAGAGACGAGAGAGCTGAGGGACGAGACAGCTGAGAGATGAGATGAGAGATGAGAGACGAGAAAACTGAGAGACGAGAGAGACGAGAGATGAGAGCTAAGAGCTGGGAGACGAGAGCTGAGAGACGAGAAAACTGAGAGACGAGAGAGACGAGAGATGAGAGCTAAGAGCTGGGAGACGAGAGCTGAGAGACGAGAAAACTGAGAGACGAGAGCTGAGAGACGAGAGAGCTGAGAGACGAGAAACTGAGAGACGAGAGACGAGAGCTGAGAGACGAGAGCTCAGAGACGAGAGAGATGAGAGACGAGAGAGCTGAGGGACGAGACAGCTGAGAGATGAGAGCTGAGAGATGAGAGACGAGAGACAAGGGACGAGAGACGAGAGCTGAGAGAGCTGAGAGACGAGAGAACTGAGAGACGATAGAGCTGAGAGACGAGAGAGCTGAGAGATGATAGAGCTGAGAGACGAGAGAGCTGAGTGACGAGAGAGCTGAGAGATGAGAGAGCTGAGAGACGAGAGAGCTGAGAGACGAGAGAGCTGAGAGCTGAGAGACGAGAAAGCTGAGAGACGAGAGCTGAGAGACGAGAAAGCTGAGAGACGAGAGCTGAGAGACAAGAGCTCAGAGCTGAGGGAGATGAGAGATGAGAGATGAGAGACGAGAGACAAGGGACGAGAGACGAGAGATGAGAGACAAGAGAGCTGAGAGACGAGAGACAATAGAGCTGAGAGACGAGAGCTGAGAGACAGAGATGAGAGACGAGAGATGAGAGACGAGAGCTGAGAGACGAGAGCTGAGAGACGAGAGAGATGAGAGATGAGAAAGCTGAGAGCTGAGAGCTGAGAGCTGAGAAAACTGAGAGACGAGAGCTGAAAGACGAGAGAGCTGAGAGACGAGAAAACTGAGAGACGAGAGACGAAAAAACTGAGAGACGAGAGCTGAGAGACGAGAGAGATGAGAGATGAGAAAGCTGAGAGCTGAGAGCTGAGAGCTGAGAAAACTGAGAGACGAGAGCTGAAAGACGAGAGAGCTGAGAGACGAGAAAACTGAGAGACGAGAGACGAAAAAACTGAGAGACGAGAGCTGAGAGACGAGAGAGCTGAGAGACGAGAGCTGAGAGAGACAAGAGAGCTGAGAGACGAGAGCTGAGAGACGAGAGACGAGAAAACTGAGAGACGAGAGCACTGAGAGACGAGAGAGCTGAGAGACGAGAGATGAGAGACGAGAGACAAGAGAGCTGAGAGACGAGAGCTGAGAGACGAGAGCTGAGAGACGAGAAAACTGAGAGACGAGAGAGCTGAGAGACGAGAGACGAGAGCTGAGAGCTGGAAGACGAGAGCTGAGAGACGAGAGCTGAGAGACGAGAAAACTGAGAGACGAGAGACGAGAGCTGAGAGACGAGAGAGCTGAGAGACGAGAAAACTGTGAGACGAGAGCTGAGAGAAGAGAGAGCTGAGAGGCGAGAGCTGAGAGACGAGAGCTGAGAGACGAAAAAACTGAGAGACGAGAGCTGAGAGACGAGAGAGCTGAGAGACGAGAGCTGACAGACGCGAGAGCTGAGAGATGACAGCTGAGAGATGAGAGCTGAGAGACGAGAAAACTGAGAGACGAGAGACGAGAGCTGAGAGATGAGAGAGCTGAGAGACGAGAAAACTGTGAGACGAGAGCTGAGAGCTGAGAGACGAGAGCTGAGAGATGAGAGCTGAGAGACGAGAGCTGAGAGACGCGAGAGCTGAGAGATGACAGCTGAGAGACGAGAGAGCTGAGGGACGAGACAGCTGAGAGATGAGAGCTGAGAGATGAGAGACAAGGGACGAGAGACGAGAGACGAGAGCTGAGAGACGAGAGAGCTGAGAGACGAGAGAACTGAGAGACGATAGAGCTGAAAGACGAGAGAGCTGAGAGATGATAGAGCTGAGAGACGAGAGAGCTGAGTGACGAGAGAGCTGAGAGACGAGAGAGCTGAGAGATGAGAGAGCTGAGAGACGAGAGAGCTGAGAGCTGAGAGACGAGAGCTGAGAGACGAGAGCTGAGAGACGAGAAAACTGAGAGACGAGAGAGCTGAGAGACGAGAGATGAGAGACGAGAGACGAGAGACGAGAGCTGGGAGACGAGAGCTGAGAGACGAGAGCTGAGAGACGAGAAAACTGAGAGACGAGAGCTGAGAGACGAGACAGCTGAGAGACGAGAAAGCTGAGAGACGAGAGACGAGAGCTGAGAGACAAGAGCTCAGAGCTGAGAGACGAAAAAACTGAGAGACGAGAGCTGAGAGACGAGAGAGCTGAGAGACGAGAGCTGAGAGACGAGAGAGATGAGAGATGAGAGTTGAGAGCTGAGAGACGAGAGACAAGGGACGAGAGCTGAGAGCTGAGAGACAAGAGAGCTGAGAGACGAGAGCTGAGAGACGAGAGAGCTGAGAGCTGAGAGAGATGAGAGCTGAGAGATGAAAGACGAGAGACAAGGGACGAGAGCTGAGAGACAAGAGAGCTGAGAGACGAGAGATGAGAGACGAGAGAGCTGAGAGACGAGAGAGCTGAGAAACGAGAGAGCTGAGAGACGAGAGCTGAGAGACGAGAGAGCTGAGAGACGAGAAAACTGAGAGACGAGAGAGCTGAGAGACGAGAGAGCTGAGAAACGAGAGAGCTGAGAGACGAGAGCTGAGAGACGAGAGAGCTGAGAGACGAGAGAGCTGAGAGACGAGAGAGCTGAGAGACGAGAGCTGAGAGACGAGAGAGCTGAGAGACGAGAGAGCTGAGAGACGAAAGCTGAGAGACGAGAGCTGAGAGACGAGAGAGATGAGAGATGAGAGAGCTGAGGGACGAGACAGCTGAGAGATGAGAGCTGAGAGATGAGAGCTGAGAGCTGAGAGGCGAGAGACAAGGGACGAGAGACGAGAGCTGAGAGACGAGAGAGCTGAGAGACGAGAGAGCTGAGAGATGAGAGAGCTGAGTGACAAGAGAGCTGAGAGACGAGGGAGCTGAGAGATGAGACAGCTGAGAGACAAGAGCTGAGAGACAAGAGAAGCGAGCTGAGAGACGAGAGAGCTGAGAGACAGAGCTGAGAGACAAGAGATGAGAGACGAGAGCTGAGAGACAAGAGATGAGAGAGCTGAGAGACGAGAGACGAGAGACAAGAGACGAGAGAGCTGAGAGACAGAGCTGAGAGAGACGAGAGAGCTGAGAGACAGAGCTGAAAGAGACGAGACAGCTGAGAGATGAGAGCTGAGAGATGAGAGCTGAGAGCTGAGAGGCGAGAGACAAGGGACGAGAGACGAGAGCTGAGAGCTGAGAGACGAGAGACGAGAGAGCTGAGAGACGAGAGAGCTGAGAGATGAGAGAGCTGAGTGACAAGAGAGCTGAGAGACGAGGGAGCTGAGAGATGAGACAGCTGAGAGACAAGAGCTGAGAGACAAGAGATGAGAGAGCTGAGAGACGAGAGACAAGAGACGAGAGAGCTGAGAGACAGAGCTGAGAGAGACGAGAGAGCTGAGAGACAGAGCTGAGAGACAAGAGATGAGAGACAAGAGATGAGAGAGCTGAGAGACGAGAGACGAGAGACAAGAGACGAGAGAGCTGAGAGACAGAGCTGAGAGAGACGAGAGAGCTGAGAGACAGAGCTGAAAGAGACGAGAAGCTGAGAGACGAGAGCTGAGAGACAAGAGAGCTGAGAGATGAGAGAGCTGAGAGACGAGAGAGCTGAGAGCTGAGAGACGAGAGAGCTGAGAGCTGAGAGACGAGAGCTGAGAGACGAGAGAGCTGAGAGACGAGAGCTGAGAGACGAGAGAGCTGAGAGACGAGAGAGCTGAGAGACGAGGGAGCTGAGAGATGAGACAGCTGAGAGACAAGAGCTGAGAGACAAGAGATGAGAGAGCTGAGAGACGAGAGACGAGAGACGAGAGACAAGAGACGAGAGAGCTGAGAGACAGAGCTGAGAGAGACGAGAGAGCTGAGAGACAGAGCTGAGAGACAAGAGATGAGAGACAAGAGATGAGAGAGCTGAGAGACGAGAGACGAGAGACAAGAGACGAGAGAGCTGAGAGACAGAGCTGAGAGAGACGAGAGAGCTGAGAGACAGAGCTGAAAGAGACGAGAGAGCTGAGAGACGAGAGCTGAGAGACAAGAGAGCTGAGAGATGAGAGAGCTGAGAGACGAGAGAGCTGAGAGCTGAGAGACGAGAGAGCTGAGAGCTGAGAGACGAGAGCTGAGAGACGAGAGAGCTGAGAGACGAGAGCTGAGAGACGAGAGAGCTGAGAGACGAGAGATGAGAGCTGAGAGACAAGAGCTCTGAGCTGAGAGACGAAAAAACTGAGAGACAAGAGCTGAGAGACGAGAGAGCTGAGAGACGAGAGAGCTGAGAGACGAGAGCTCTGAGCTGAGAGACGAAAAAACTGAGAGACGAGAGCTGAGAGACGAGAGAGCTGAGAGACGAGAGAGCTGAGAGATGAGAGCTGAGAGCTGAGAGACGAGAGCTGAGAGACGAGAGAGATGAGAGATGAGAGAGCTGAGGGACGAGACAGCTGAGAGATGAGAGCTGAGAGATGAGAGCTGAGAGATGAGAGACGAGAGACAAGGGACGAGAGACGAGAGCTGAGAGACGAGAGACGAGAGAGCTGAGTGACAAGAGCTGAGAGACAAGAGAAGCGAGCTGAGAGACGAGCGAGCTGAGAGACAGAGCTGAGAGACAAGAGATGAGAGACGAGAGCTGAGAGACAGAGCTGAGAGACAAGAGATGAGAGAGCTGAGAGACGAGAGACGGGAGACAAGAGACGAGAGAGCTGAGAGACAGACCTGAGAGAGACGAGAGAGCTGAGAGACAGAGCTGAAAGAGACGAGAGAGCTGAGAGACGAGAGCTGAGAGCAAGAGAGCTGAGAGACAAGAGAGCTGAGAGACGAGAGAGCTGAGAGACGAGAGAGCTGAGAGACGAGACCTGGGAGACGAGGGTCGAGAGACGAGAGCTGAGCTTAGAAACGAGGGTTGAGAAACAAGAGCTGAGAGACTGTGCAACGTGATCATTACAATAAATAACATGAAAGCATTTGTTTACATTATCTCAACATGATTTCTGTATGTAAACGAGCAGAGTCGTCTACACACCAGTGTGACCCTGAGGTCATGCAACCCGGGTAGAGCTGCAGGGTGTCCTGCTCGCACACTCACCATGTTGTTGACATTTTTGAGGATGGTGGTGAGGCCGCTGATGACGAGGGAGAACTTGTACTTGGAGATGTTGATCAGACACTCCTTGTTGTGCTCGGTGCTGACTTTGGTGTGAGTGTTCTGGTGTCCCACTTTGATGGGAAGCTGGAGGAAACAAAGAGAGGACGGTCAGGCTGTGATACCGAGTTCGACCTCACATCAGAAACGACCTTCATCTGAAGCTCCAGTTCTCCAGCAGTAACAGAGTGAACGTTTGAGTGACTCTGCTCAGCCTTTTTCCTCGGCTACAAGCTAACAGATCAGCTCTGCCTCACAGAATTGATCCCACACTCCAAACATCTACTCCTTAGATAAATGGTCCGCTGAGTGTGTTCTGATGCTGAGAACAAGCAAACGCTTAACAACTCCAGATGTTTCTGGAAACACCTCTGATGTTAGGTATCGGATACAAACCAGTACGCCAGTCAATGCTCCAATCAAAGCTAGTAAATTTATCAGGGACAGCTGTGGATCAGTGGTGTCAGACGTCTTGACTGAAAGGTCAGGGGATCGATCTCCAGATCCCGCAGCTACATGTGGATGTTTCCTTTGACAAGACACTTAACCCCACGTTGCTCCCATGATATAGCAGGATATACTGACCTATGACCCCTGTGCAGTGAGCCTTCTGATGACCTATTATCCCTGTGATGTGATATTTTTGATGACCTATGACCCCTGTACTTCTGATGACCTATGACCCCTAGGGGTGTAACGGTAGACAAACATTTTGGTTCGGTACGAGTCTCAGTATCGAAGCTTCGGTTCGGTACATTTTCGTAAAGGGACCTGATGCAACACTTTTTTATTTATTTATTAGGAACACTTAGAATTTCCCTTTTACACATTGGGCTAAGTTAGCAGCATCGACAGTTCAGACTTGTACACCTGCTCAGGTTACTTTTTAATAACATTTTACATTAAACATTGCACAAAAAAAAACATAAAATGAACTTATGCTGCATCCTTCAACCAAAAGAGTCTCCAATAAATAAAAGATATGAATGAAATAAAGTATTTTAGAATGAAATTAAGTAATTAATATAGCCTAATGTAAAATTATTTCTTTTAAATTACACTGACACCTTTTAGTTTATGAAGGCAACACTTTTTTGAATGCCCTTTGAGCACATAATAAACCTAATCACATCTGGGACAGTTTCATCGCAGAACTATTAATATTTCCCTCTATTGATATAAAAACTTCAAGGGCATTTGTTGTGGCTTTGGCCCGTTCAGAATTACTAGCAAAAGGCTGTCTGTTGGGGAGGGAGGGTGTTCATTCTATCAAGCTGCAGGTTATTCTCCCACACAGACGTGTCTCCCCTTTCACGCAGCAGCGCTGCTGGAGCGGGATCATCGCTGAAAATGAAAACGAAAGTTTTCAGTAAGTCCGTAAATGAACTCCATCCCAGTTATATGCAACTGTCCAAACCGACAGGGCTCGAGGAACTACTAATCTGCAGAGTTTACAGTTTATGTTTGAACTTTTTACAAGTTACGGTGTGCTTCCGCTTTGCGGTCCGTGTGGGAACACAGATTAAAGAACTTCTGTTCCGTGCGTACTCGGATCGGTCTGCGTGCCGAAAACCCTGTACCGAAACGATCCGGTACGAGTACGTGTACCTTTACATCCCTAATGACCCCTGTGATGTGAACTTTCTGATGACCTATCACCCCTGTGCTGTGAGCCTTCTGATGAACTATTATCCCTGTGGTGATATTTTTGATGACCTATGACCCCTGTGATTTGATCTTTCTGATGACCTATAATCCCTGTGGTGATATTTTTGATGACCTATGACCCCTGTGCTATGATACTTCTGATGACCTATGACCCCTGTGTTATGATACTTCTGATGACCTTTGACCCCTGTGCTGTGACGCTTTTGATGACCTTTGACCCCTGTGCTGTGATGCGTTTGATGACCTTTGACCCCTGTGCTGTGATGCTTTTGATGACCTCTGACCCATGTGCTGTGATTGACTGAAGACCTATGACCACTGTAGTGTGACCTTCTGATGACCTTTGACCCATGTGCTGTGATTGACTGAAGACCTATGACCCCTGTAGTGTGACCTTCTGATGACCTTTGACCCCTGTGCTGTGATTGACTGAAGACCTATGACCACTGTAGTGTGACCTTCTGATGACCTTTGACCCTTGTGTTGTGATTGACTGAAGACCTATGACCCCTGTACTGTGATCCTTCTGATGACCTTTGACCCCTGTGCTGTGATTGACTGAAGACCTATGACCACTGTAGTGTGACCTTCTGATGACCTTTGACCCCTGTGTTGTGATTGACTGAAGACCTATGACCCCTGTACTGTGATCCTTCTGATGACCTTTGACCCCTGTGTTGTGACTGACTGAAGACCTATGACCCCTGTACTGTGATCCTTCTGATGACCTTTGACCCCTGTGCTGTGATTGACTAAAGACCTATGACCCCTGTACTGTGATCCTTCTGATGACCTTTGACCCCTGTGCTGTGATTGACTAAAGACCTATGACCCCTGTATTTCATATTCATTTTGAAGATAACCTTCAGCCTCTTTCCTCGGGGCTCCATGTTTTCTTTATCAGAGTTCACAGTTAAACGTCTGAGGCTTTAAAAACTGAGTTGGTTTGTGATTCAGAGGAACTCATACTCAATTCATTGACAATGTCAGGTGATTTAAAACAAGACTAACCCTGTTGTTGGAAGTGGACTTCTAAGGACCCTGATCCTGGTCCTGTGGAGTGGTCTTGGACGCCCTGAACATTTATAGAAACTGACTTTTTGTTGAGCATCAATGCACAGCTGAACAGAAACGTCAGTGTGTCTTCAAGGGTCGGACTGCGTGGCTCACATTCCTCGCGTTGTCAGGAACACTCATGTCATTTATGGCAGATGATCCGGCTCGGACAGAGCTGGCAGCCAGAATGTAAACAGGAAATGGACCAGCACGCCGCTCTGCTGTCTCTGAATCTTTGTGCCCGTCCACAAGTCCTCATTGGACCTTTGAGCCACTTCATGAAAATCTGCTTGGACCACCGAGTCTACCATAAGATGGCAAACTGACCGTTTGACACCATGTGTTTGAATAACCCGACACAACCTCAGTTCATCAATGATCGGCAGAGTCAGAAGAACTGAAGCTTTAAAACATCTTCATCACATTTTAACACTAACGTCCAAATTCTGCGTGTTCAGTCCGTCTCCGCTCCGTTACGGCAGCAGAGCTTCATTTTCAATGCAGTGTTTCCCATACATTGATTCATCCGATTCTCGACAAGGACCGCCACGGATTCATTTGTTGTATTCATAAAATTGCTGCGGGCACTAGAGCGAGAGTGGGAGAGTGGGAGAGAGAGAGAGAGAGGGAGCGTGTGAGAGTGCAGGCACGCTATGAGTATGAAGCGTGTTAGATGTAGCTGCAGCTACTTTACCTGCTCCTCTCTCTGCGAGCATCGCAGGGCACGCTGAGCTACACCAACATACAGTACATTGCTTAACGCGCACGCACATACACACACTGGAGCGCCAGCCACCACGCGTATCTTTTTACTTTTAGTCAACAGCAAAAAGTTGATCCGTACGGATAACAGACTGTAGGCTACATATTAGGTACGGACTTAACAATAGCAACGTCTGTATATAAACAACACAACTTCAGAAGGTCAACACTTTTTTATTTTTTATATTCAGGTCTAATTACAGATTTTTTCCTCAACTGTTTATAGGTTCTTGTTTTAATTGCACATATATTTTATGTACATTTCTTGTATACGTCTATTTTTAATTGCACAGTTTAAGTTTTTTTCATCTAGGGGTATTCTTTAAATCTTTTTCAGGTTAAAATATATGTATGGGAGGGGAAGTCGGTTTTGCGGGTTTAATTGGTAACAAATGTTTCATGTCATGTACGTCTTTGTAACCTGCTACTGGATGCTTTGAATTTCCCTCGGGATCAATAAAGTATCTATCTATCTATCTATCTATCTATCTATCTATCTATCTGTCATCTCACATGCTGCTAAATTAATGTAGAGGAAAGAAACGTATTTGATATAAATACAAATGTAATATTAACATTATAAATTACTCCCCCCCCCGAACTCCACCACCCAGATATTGTGTCATTCTGTGGGAAATACTGCAATGTGTGTGCTTCCACTGGCTCCGCCAGGCTGCAGTCCGGAGCTGGGAGGCTTCTATTTTAACTGGAGCACGGCGCATCAATTTAGCAGAGAAAAGAGGGAAGCGGGACGGGAAGTCAGACACCGAAACAACATCAAAACATCCTGTTTCTTTTCAGAATAAAAGACTCTGTTTAGACGGTTCAGAACAACGACCTAAGTGTGTTTGTTTATGTGTTTTATACTCTTTTATACCACTTACAGCGGATTATGTCACGCTGTCATGAGTGAATGTGGAAAATTACCGCAGAAACTCCTTGGTCTTGGCACTCCAGCTGTCCGGCTGTAGTGTACATTATACCAACGCAGGAGTCCTCATTTATAACTGATCATGAATGAAACCAACAGAATGACCAAATGTTGGACGCCAAGTAGAGACGCACTGATCAGGGCTGATAGCAATGTTTGTTTCATGACTTGGTTTGGTGTCAGACATCTGTGCAGCTCTACTTGAAGCTTTCAGCCAAACACCGCGGCCTCAACCAGCCCCCTACTAACTCTGTGTACCAGAACCCTCTGACTGAGTGACCCTGAAAAGAGAACCTGGACGTTAACTGTAAAGTGACTGTGAGGGATTTATCGTAGGATTAGGCTAATCATAACCAGGAAGTAGATTTAAAACCTTAAACCAGTGGTAGTAATCCAACTAATCCACTAAACCCATCTGAAGTCCATGATCCTCAGAGACTTACCCGGGACCCAAGTGCTCAAACACCTCTAGAGAACCAAACTCCCCCCAGAGACCAAAACCCCTCCAGAGCAGAGACCCAAACACCCCAAGAGACCCAAAAATGTCCAGAGAACCAAACACCTCCAGACAGACAAAACACCTCCAAAGACCCAAGCTCCTCCAGAGACCCATGGAGTTGGTCTGCTTCCTGTTTGACAGGAAGGTGGGCTTTCAGTAAAGGTACAAGCAGTAAACATAAACACTACGTCCTTCAGTAAGTAGGCGTGGCTTATGGTGGCCATGAGCACAGGAGAAGCAAACCAAGGTTCAGGTAAATCCCCCAGTGTGAGGGTTGTGACCTTTATTAGGGTCATGAAAGCCTGAAGCGTGTCGGTCTAATAAAGTTAATCAAGTTGATCTTTCTGCTACGAGTGCTGCTGGAGCTTATTTACTGCATTAAGCCTCTCTCTCTGGGCGCAGCCCGATACTACGACTCTCCTTCTCCAGTGTTTGGTTCATTAATACATCCGAAGCATCTGACGCACAACCTGAACTTTACTTGTTTGACACCTTTGTTAGATCACCTGTGGTCATTTGCTCCTGGCTGTGGTTCAGGTGTAAAACTAAGAGGGATAGAATATTTTCTGTTGACTGTCCATGTTGGTTTTAAAAGTCCTTTTAACTTTTTGCAGTGTTGTGTTAAAGAAAGACTTCAGTTCAGCTGAGAGGACATACCTGTACACATTCTTAAAGGACAGGTGAGTCTGAGAGGACACACCTACACACAGTCTAAAAGGACAGGTGAGTCTAAGAGGACAGGACACACCTACACACAGTCTAAAAGGACAGGTGAGTCTGAGAGGACACACCTACACACAGTCTAAAAGGACAGACCTACACACAGTCTAAAAGGACAGGTGAGTCTAAGAGGACAGGACACACCTACACACAGTCTAAAAGGACAGGTGAGTCTTAGAGGACAGGACACACCTACACACAGTCTAAAAGCACAGGTGAGTCTAAGAGGACAGGACACACCTACAAACAGTCTAAAAGGACAGGTGAGTCTAAGAGGACAGGACACACCTACACACAGTCTAAAAGGACAGGTGAATCTGAGAGGACAGGACACAACTACACACAGTCTAAAAGGACAGGTGAGTCTCAGAGGACACACCTACACACAGTCTAAAAGGACAGGTGAATCTGAGAGGACAGGACACACCTACACACAGTCTAAAAGGACAGGTGAGTCTAAAAGGACAGACCTACACACAGTCTAAAAGGACAGGTGAGTCTCAGAGGACACACCTACACACAGTCTAAAAGGACAGGTGAGTCTAAAAGGACAGACCTACACACAGTCTAAAAGGACAGGTGAATCTGAGAGGACAGGACACACCTACACACAGTCTAAAAGGACAGGTGAGTCTAAAAGGACACACCTACACACAGTCTAAAAGGACAGACCTACACACAGTCTAAAAGGACAGGTGAGTCTAAGAGGACAGGACACACCTACACACAGTCTAAAAGGACAGGTGAGTCTTAGAGGACAGGACACACCTACACACAGTCTAAAAGCACAGGTGAGTCTAAGAGGACAGGACACACCTACAAACAGTCTAAAAGGACAGGTGAGTCTAAGAGGACAGGACACACCTACACACAGTCTAAAAGGACAGGTGAATCTGAGAGGACAGGACACAACTACACACAGTCTAAAAGGACAGGTGAGTCTCAGAGGACACACCTACACACAGTCTAAAAGGACAGGTGAATCTGAGAGGACAGGACACACCTACACACAGTCTAAAAGGACAGGTGAGTCTAAAAGGACAGACCTACACACAGTCTAAAAGGACAGGTGAGTCTCAGAGGACACACCTACACACAGTCTAAAAGGACAGGTGAGTCTAAAAGGACAGACCTACACACAGTCTAAAAGGACAGGTGAGTCTAAAAGGACAGACCTACACACAGTCTAAAAGGACAGGTGAGTCTGAGAGGACAGGACACACCTACACACAGTCTAAAAGGACAGGTGAGTCTGACAGGACACACCTACACACAGTCTAAAAGGACAGGTGACTCTGATATGACACACCTACACACAGTCTAAAAGGACAGGTGAGCCAAAGAAGACACCTACATACAGTCTAAAAGGACAGGTGAGTCTGAGAGGACACACCTGTACACAGTGTAAAAACACCACATTAACCAACATTAGGTGACTGTATATAACATTTAGTGTCCGTGGTATTGAAACAGGTAAAGACATTACGTCATTTGGAGCAGGATTAGTGAGAGGTAAACCCAGCATGATCACAGCCTCGGTGCTGACACAGTCACTTCTTATTTGTTTACATTAGAAGGCTAGGCCTGATGCTAATGTTAGCATGCTAGCTGACATGATCCAAAGCGCTGTCTTAGGAGCTTTAACGGACACACACTCACAGTTTTTATATGTTTTATATTTAAATGTCTCTGCTGAGATGCTTTATTGTGTTTTATTGTAGAAATCCTCGCGTGTTTGTGTTTAAATCCAGGGACAGAGGGGGGATAAATCAGCTAATTGATCGTACAGACGGCGCTAGCTTACAGACAGAGCCATCTTCAGTGTTCGTTATTAGCGAATAAAAAGCGGACAAAGTTCTTTCCTGCTCGGGATGATCCACAGCGAACCGGGGATTAAACACCAAACTTGGGTTACTGTAAATTCAGCGCCGGTACCGGGGCCCGGAGACCCCCGAAACCTGCTACACCCTTCCATCCCCGGACTCAGCCCCTCTTACCTGCTCATCAAACCTGGTGATCACGGCCTGGACCCACTCCACGGGCTTGTGAGCCGCCATGTCGGCGCGGGGGGAACCGCAGAGCTGCGCCGGCAGATCCGAGGTACGAGGCCGCAGCTGGAGGCTTATTTCCGCATGAACGTGTGTCCGGTGGGTGGCAGAGGACAAGAGGGGCAAGTATTTTTCCCTTTCTGCAGGATTCACCATGCCACCGCCATGACACACCGAAGTCTTGTTCACAGAAAGTGATGGGAGGTGTTGGAAGAGCTCTGCTCGCTGCAGTGACACACCACACACACACACACACACACACACACACACACACACACAAACACACCTCCTCTCCTCCTCCTCCTGCTCCTCTCCTCCTGCTGCTCCAGCTCCTTCTTCTGTGGCTTTTCCGCCTGCTGCTGGTTTATTAGGGATGAGATGTCTTTGGACTGAGGTTCAACTTGAAATAAAAACATGTTTGTGACGGACAGCAGAGCTGCAGGGTTTTAAACATAAGGAGTCTAAAAGTCAAACCAGGGGTGAGGCCTGCAGATCAGACCTGTTCTGAACACAAAGGTAACACTTTAATGAGAAGTGACGATGCCTGTATATGTTATGCCTGATAAATAAACTGATATATAAATTAAAAGTAAAAAAAATACAACATTTAAGATTTTTGGGCCTTCATCAATCATGGCCCTTAGAACTTCTTCACATTTCACCCCTACACAAACACGGCCCTGAAGTCCTACAAAGTTAAGATCTTCTGCACACAAACAAAACATTGTCCTCCTTTTTGGGACTTCAGGGGCACCGCAGTTTACAATACAGCGAGCACGGATCACATTGTTTTCTAGAGACGAGTAAAAGTATGAATGACACAAACAAACATTCAAATTAATTTATTGAGCTGAAACAACTCGGGTACAGTTTGAGTGAAGGCACAGTTTATAACACGATCACACATCAACATCATCGAGAGTGAACACCGCGAGTTACACACAGAGAGGAGAGAGAGAGAGAGAGAGAGAGAGAGAGAGAGAGAGAGAGAGAGAGAGAGAGACGAGAGAGAGAGAGAGAGAGAGAGAGAGAGAGACACACACACACACACACACACACACACACCACACACACACACACACACCACACACACACAACACACACACACACACACACACACCACACACACACACAACACACACACACACACGGTTTCTTTCTCCTCTCTGGTCACTTGTGGCGGTGGTGCTCGAGTCTTTGGTTTTTATAATATTGCGTCTTTATTAAATACGTCACCGTGTATCGACGGCTGCTTTGACGTGATCAGGAGGAATCTGGACGTCTTCTTCACCTGACAGCCCGGCCGAGCAGCTGTCTCTCTGCTCCATCGCATTTCTTCTTCTGCAGCTACTTAAAGCAAAGAAACACACTTTGGAGGGTTCATATCCTTTGTCACACACCACTCAGCTGGACAGTTATCATCTTTATTTGAGTAGCTCTTTACTCCATGGCGTCGGGTCTCGTGGCCACATAGACAAACAGGACGATGAGCAGCACGACCACGGCCAGCGTGGGCAAGACGACGGTGGCCACCTGCTGCCGGGCCTCCTGCATGGCCGCCTTACGCTCCTTCTTGTCCTTCGATGTTTCCTTCTTGGCTTTTCCTTTCAGCTGCCTCATGATGTCTCCAAGATGGCTCGCTGAGTCTTCACTGCGCTCACAGGAGCCTGAAGGAGTCAAAGAAACCCTTCAGTTAGACTGACTGTTGTACCCCCCATCCAAACCCTGACCCCCCCACTCAAAACACCAATCACGACCCCTCATCCAAACTCCTGAAGGCGAAACAGAAACCCCTCAGTTAGGAAGACTGTTGTACATGAGGGTGAGTGCTAACCCTGTCCTAACCCTGACCTCTAACACATCACAGTAACAGGTGCAGATTGTTGGGTTAATAACAGACCCCTGAACACATCACAGTAACACGTGCGGATTGTTGGGTTAATAACAGACCCCTGAACACATCACAGTAACACGTGCGGATTGTTGGGTTAATAACAGACCCCTGAACACATCACAGTAACACGTGCGGATTGTTGGGTTAATAACAGACCCCTGAACACATCACAGTAACACGTGCGGAGTGTTGGGTTAAGAAGAGACACCTGAACACATCACAGTAACACGTGCGGAGTGTTGGGTTAAGAAGAGACACCTGAACACATCAAGGTAACACGTGCAGAATGTGTCATAGCAGCTTCATTTTTCAGTCCCGATCCTAAAATCATGATTTAGGTTCACTGCTCTGACGTTAACTGGTGAAGTCTTCCTGAGGTTTGATGTCACTGGCGTTTACATCTCATCATGTAAAAAAGACGTCATCAGTTTTAACTGGTCTGCTGTGTGGTTACAGCTCCATCTAGTGGCTTCACGGAGACTAGCAGCTGTTTGAAGCACGCACGCACACGCATGATTTTCTGCTTGTATAAAACTTCCTGTATAAAATGTAGCCTAGTTTCATGTGAATACTTAAACGGACTGATTCATCCCCGACTTCAACCCGACCGTTGTCCTGCGATAGAATAAAACCAGTCTGTGTGTAACAGTAGAGGAACAAACCCCCCAAAAAGGCTTTACTTTTCGAGATACCCCTACCCGAGGTAGAACAAAGCATCACCATATTTTTTCAGAACTTGAACATGTCTAGTTTATGAAACGGATGGTTGTATGGTTGTATTTTACTGCAAAATAACTTTTTGGGATGTTTTATGCATCTTACCAAAAAACGAAAATAGGTCAAATTAGGGCTTCTCCAAATGGGACAGCTCTAGCCTTATCACATGTATCTCTGGGAATCAGAATTTCACCAAATTTGGACAGGATGTTCACAGATAGTTATTAGTTTCAATTATGCAAAGTTTTATCAATTTTTGAATTTTTCACACTTAAACACACAGTAGTTTAGGCGGAAATTGAAACAAAAATTCAAAAAGGTATGTATATCAAAGTCTGTCATTTTTTAAGTAAGGACACCAAACATTAAAATATGTCATTTTTATCTTCTTTAAACTGTTATCTCAACATAAAAGCAAATTATTTGACTTTTCACTTGACCCTATGCTGTCACCAGCCCCTAACAGGAAACTAGTGCAGCCAGGATTTCAGGGCGACCTGGTACAATGGGGCCCTATGGATATGTGGGAGGAGGTGGCCACAAACAATAGATTAAGACTTAACAACAAGACACAATATAACTGTATTCCGTAATATATATATATATATATATATATAATTAAACATTTTATAGTTATTCCTAATACTTTCTATCTTACATATGATTTATATGATGACACTCAGAGTTAACCCTCTGCTTTCAACAATATTGTCACCTACGACATAGTTTCTATTTCATTCTAAAAAATTAAAGAATTGTCTTGCCATCAGCTGTGAAATATTAATGAACTAAAAAATAGTATTGATATATATAACCTTGAGTTCATAGAAATTAAACATACTTCATATAGTCTATTTGTATATCGCCCATACAGCCTGTTGTAGTTTTTTTTTAAATGTATTTCAGTCATATAAAGATGGTGTGTAGTCACCATATCTCCTGCTTTTAAGAAGAACCCTAGTTACTCCAAAGGATACACTGGATGAAGGGATAGTTTTTATAATACCCTAAGTATGATAAAGTGTTAAAAAAAGCTACAATAGCTATTTTTGTTGAATGATTTATCAGGCAACCAATGGAGCTGGGATACAAAAAATTCTTATGATGGTTTAAATGTGTGTGAGGTGAATTAGGATAACAATCATGCAAACATGTTTATAAGAAACTTCTTTATACATTTATTTTACCTCATTATATATATAATGACATTTGATTTTAAATGCTAATTACAAAGCATGATTTCCACTATTAGACAAAATGATTGCGAACCTGAGAGCTTAACACCTTGCAACTAAAAACCTTTGTGTCACACTAAACATCCCCTGGGAATCCCCTTTGTCTGTCCTACCTCGGGTAGGGGTATCTCAACTTTTAGGGGCCCAAGTTCCTCTACTATAAAGTACCCGTACCTTCAGCGTTACTGGGTCCACAGAGCGTGATCACTGCGAGTCTTGGTCTCTTTATTCTGATTCAACTGTATTTTCTGACTTTCAGGACCTGATGACGTTAACAGGGTTATCCAGTGTTTGATGTTCCTTTAAAAAAGTATTCACTGATTTACAGACGCCTCTTTCACGATGTGAGCCCGCCTGTCAATCGGGGCGACCCTGAAGGAACTGCAGGACTTCACACTTCTGCCTTGGCTTCATGTGGACTAAACATGGTTCACCTTTCCTTACAGTGCAAACGCAGCGAATGATGTCATATTAAGTGCGTCTGTACTCGGAGCATCTTAAAGTTTATCCTATTTAACGAAACACACTGCCTCGGAAATCTGCAATAATAGAGTATTCTACCAAAACCAGTGCCACCAGTGCCACTATTCACTGAAAAGAGCCACTTTCCCCCCCAGGTTAGTAAACACAACTTCCTCCTGTCGATGGTCAGATAGCACGTACTGGTGATGCGTTCACGGGCTCCTTGGATGCTCGGACTAACGAAGTTTGTAAGTAGTTCTCAGGTTTGTTCACGATCTTTAGAATCATCAGGGACAAAATAAACTTAATAAATCATGATGTCACCGCTGTGAGCTGATCTGTAGACTTGGTTTGTAAAGTAATAACTTGTTACCAACCAGCAGAATGTTTTTATTAAACACGATATTCATGACAAACTTTACGACCATCAGGATACTGCTTACGTTGGTCGTTTTATTTCTGCACAGTTAAAGGTCCAACCTGTGGCTTTATTTCTGAGAGTTTAAGTACCACCTGTGGCCTTCAGGTGCCTCAAGCTGCCGTCAGGTGAACTTTGCCTCCCTCGGTCATTTTCCCGACAGCACTTGAAGCTGGTTAACTTTCTGAAACGTGAGCTGCAGCGAGGACTGAAAACTGCTGACGCTACTTTAAAGCCGACACAGAGTTAAACTTACAGGCAGAGCTGAGCTGGGATCTGTTCTGGAAGGTTCTGCAGGTGTTCTCCCGGAGTCCTGGACCCGGACCGGTTACA